GTGCAAAATGTGTCACAGGGACGTCATTTGTTGATGCTTGGTGCCTGTTGGTGCTTGGTGCTCGTTCATTGGTGCCCGGCGCCCATGTATGTATCGCATGCAGCTGCATCCAATCACCCCCCTGTATCATTGCCTAGCTTCTCCGCTCTCTGCCTCTCCCCTCTCCGCTTCTCCCCTCTCCGATTCTCCCCTCTGCTTCACTGGAGAATCAGTTCTGCTGGGTGCATCCTCGATCAACTCATGCGCTCTCTCTTCCCTCTTCTGCCCCACACCCCCCCTCCCTTTTGCTTTCCTCGCTCTCACTCTCACCTGCCCCCCTGACAGTGGCCTGAAGTCGACCCCCTGCACAAGAGGATCAACTCAGTCGGGTTCATGCTCGGCCAACTCACCCTCGGATCACTCCTCTTTTGTGTCCCGCAACCCCCTCCTTTGTCTATATCTGCCCCACACCCCACTTGCTCCCCTGGCAGTGGCCTGAAGTGGAACCCCCTCCACAAGCGTATCGACTCAGTCGAGTGCACGCTCGGCCAGTTGACTCTCGGCTCGCTGCTCTTCACCATCCTCACTCTCCTCCTCCCCACCACCGCCATCTTCCACATCCTCTTCGCCTCCCTTTGCTTCGCGATCTCCACCGTCCGTTCCGCCCTGCAAACCGTCGCCTCGCTGCTCCTCTCCTTCCCGGTCTACCTGGTCATAGTGAGGGTCTACCGCCCGGATCAGGTGCCGGGAGGGGTCTGGCTGGAGTTTGTGGGAGGAGGGCGGAGAGTAGGGAAAGGAGGGGGTGAGGGCTGGAAACGAGACGATGGTCGACGTGTGGGGATGGATGGGGGGTTTGGGTCGACAGAGAGCAAGAGGGGGGATGAGAAGGAGCAGGCGGAGCGGGCATGCGGGGATTGTGGAAGAGGGAGGAACGGGGCATGTGGGAGTGGCGTTGGCGGTCGTTGTAGTGCATGCACTGACAGCAGCAGCAGCAGCAACAGTGGTGATGCTGTAGGGGTTGCTGCTGGGTCTGCTGGTGCTGCTTCTGATGGTGCCCCTGCTGGTTGTCACTGTGCCATGGATGCATCTGGAGCCTCACTGGGGCCCGCAGTTTCCGGTATCCCCAACACAGGCTGCCTTGATATGCCTAGAAGCACTTCCGGTGGCGCCAGCAGCTCTACTCGCAATGGGAGTGGAGGAGCAGGAGTTCCAAGTCATGACAGAATCAGCTCCCATCAAAATGACCTAAGATGTACAATGGCAGGAGACCTAAGCTGCGGAAGGCTAGGCAATGGTGATGCTAGCAACAATTTCCGGGTGTACAGTGTGGAGGGGAGTCCACATCTGTTCCTTCGTTCCTTCCCGGTGTCATTTCAGGACATGTTGAGCCGTGTGCGCATGTTCCCTTCAGTGAAGAAAGCCAAGACGTAGAAACGAGGTTTGACTAAAAGTAGGGCTACCCTTTTATTTGCGTATTGTTATTGACGTAAGCCATTATGTACGGTAGGTAGAGTGAGAATTGGGTTGCCAGTACAACAGTTTTTTTGTTATTCTACATATTCAATGTTGATGTCTTGTCAGTGTTGAAGACATTGTTGGGAAAGTTGAGGGGTTCAATAAACGGAATTAGGGTCGATTTCTACTATTATGAAAGCATTTTTATAATCATTGGTGCATTGATGCTAATGAACAAAATCAATTTGGAAATTACACAAGCTGATGCTTTTTTTTTAGTTAGAAGTTACGTACAAATTTCCGATACCGACGCAACTCTTATAACGCGCTACAGAGCGCGTCATTACAGCGTTCAACGCTCTCGGAAGGTGTTCAAACGAAGTTCCACCGCACTGTACCACGCTATTATCTAATCGAAATAAACCGAAACCGTTATTACAGCCACTGTACTCCTCCCCTCCGTTCGGACTCAGTAGCATGTACAGTACTAAGCATGCGTGTCGTAGTTATCACAACAAACCTCCGTCTGCTTGTTAGACTCCAGTTCTAGGTTGGCCCCTGCTCCTTCTGGTATTTCACTTCGTCGGGCTCGCGCCGTTGTTAGTTTCATTCTCGGGAGAGAATAAACGACGTCATCGTTGTTCCCAGCCCCATTCTTTTTCCATTTTCGCGCTGTCGTCGTTTCGTTCCCCATTTTTCGCCGCCCCCATTTTCCCCAATTTTCCTCATATTTCGCCATTGTGGGCACTTTCACTTCCGGCGTTTCGCGTAGGCCAGCAATTACCATGAGCCATGGACGTCGTCGTTAAAAATTCATCTCACGTACGGGCATAGGCTGGATAGTAGGAGACCATTTCCAGGCCTTGGACATTCAAGATGGACGGCGGGGATTACATCTTGGAGGAGACGGACGGCGGCAGGCACCGGTTTCTGGTGGAGCTCGAGTTCGTTCAATGCCTGGCGAATCCGAACTACATTCACTGTGAGTCGATCTACTGTGAATGAATCTAGTGTGGGTTATTTTACTGTGAGTTATGATGCAATGCATGCCACCACATACGCTATGCCATGACAGAATTCTTGCCATGCCATGCCATAGGCCAGGGTTTCGTTGTGTGTCCTTGTCATCCCCATTCCGTCCCTCACCAAACCGCCTCCTCATGCTCCTCCTCCTCCCTCCCCCTCCCCTCCCCTCCCCCTCCCTTCCCCCCTCTTCCTCTTCTCCCCGTCTCCACCATTTCCCCCCAGACCTCGCACAGAACAAGCAGCTCCAAGACCCAGCATTTGTCAACTACATAAAGTACTGGCGAACACCCCCGTATTGTGTATTTTCATTGTGTGCGCTCAAGTCTCCACCCAACTCCCCCCCCCCTCCCCCCCCCCTTTTCCCTCTCCCATCCGGAGGTGACTTTTGAGTCGACTCAAAAGTCCTCCCCCCCCCTTTTCCCTCTCCCATCCCATCCGGTCCCTTCAGACCTCGCACAGAACCAACAAGCAGTTCCAAGACCCAGCTTTTGTCAACTGCATACACTACCTACAGACTACAGTACTGGCAGAAGCCCCCGTACTCAACTTTCATAGTGTACGCTCCCCCCCCCCCCCCTCCTCCCCGCGCTCCCTCTTTCCGTCTCCCTTCCGGTCCCCCCAGACCTCGCACAGAACAAGCAGTTCGAAGACCCAGCATTTGTCAACTACATTCACTACCTACAGTATTGGCGGACGCCCCCGTATTCCACTTTTATTGTGTACGTTCAAATCCCATTTGCTTATGCTGTGAGGTATATACAAATACAAATAAAGGCTTATTTTTGTTTCCCTTTGACAACACGTTGTGTCTCTTCTTCGCCTCTTCTTTGCCGAATCGTAACACTTTGCTCAACCCCCCCTCTCCCCCCCTCCCCCTCCCCCTCCCCCTCCCCCTCCCCCTCTCCTCTCTCTTCAACATATCATAAGAATCACCAATTTCCGCTCTTTCCTCCCTTCGGGGTTCATGGTTTGGAAAGTTTGGATTGCAATTGCATGACACATTTTGTGTTTCATAATTCATTTCATGGCACGGGCACGTGGCGTGTTATTGTGTGGTTCTGGAACGGATGGCATGGCCATGAATTGGGCTGGATTTCACAGGTACCCACACTGTCTCTACTTCCTTGAGTTGCTTCAAAGCGAGCACTTCCGCACTGCCATGGCGCATCCTGCCCACAAGGTGGGTGGGGATAGTGCTGCTCACCCTGTCTTGTCTCTGTATGCTTTTGCCGGTGCATGGTGCCAACTATGGCACATGGGCCTGGTGTAACAGCCAGATATCGACACGGTCTCTGCTTCCTTGAGTTGCTTCAAAGCGAGCACTTCCGCACTGCCATGGTGCATCCCGCCAACTTATGTTGGAATATACGCGTACTGCGTACTATCCGCCTGTGTATATATGCATGTGTATGTCATGGCGCATCCCGCCGCCGACAAGTTGGGTAGAGATTTTGTCGCTCTGTCTCGTCTGTGTGTATGCTTTCTATACGGTCATGGTGCCAACTACCGACACTGCCTTACTCTTTTGAGCTGCCATGAAGCGAACACTTGCACGCTGCTATTGCACATTCGGCTAACAAGCTCGCAGATTAGTGCTGGCCAGCGTCCCTGTTTTCCGCTGCCCTTTTACTCCGCTGTTCTAACCATTTAACCTTTTCCGACTCCTTTCGAAACCTTATCTGGGTTTATTTCCTCTGTATGCTGTTCAGGAGCTAGCCCACGGGCAGCAGTTCTATTTCTGGCAGCATTACCGGAACAACCGGCTGAAGATGATGCATCAACAGAGGCAGCTGCAGGCAGCAGGAGATGCAACAGAGACTGACACAGATACAAGCACAGGGGGTCCGCCTCCTCAGGGTTTTCCTACTGCTGCTGGTACTGGTGCTACCAGAGGTGTTAGAGCTGGGAGTTCTGGCACTGCGGCTGGTAAAACAGCAACGAGTGGTGGTGGGGCTACAGCTAATGCTGCCTCAACTGTCCCCGGAACGCCTGGTCTTGCAACTTCTCTTCATGCCTCCACGCCTCCTCTTCCTCCTGCCTCTCCTTTGCCTCCCCTGCCCATGGCTGCTCATCCTTCCGGGCACTCTGCACCTCACAAACCTCCTGCTTCAGGCTCGGGAACTGGTTTGGCCGGAGCAGGAGCGGGTGGGCCAGGAAGAGCAGCAATGCATGGTGGTCGCACTCCTCCATCTGCACCAGGGCAATCCTCACGCAACTCCTCTGGTTCTCAACAGAGTGGTGGAAAGCCAGGTGCCCGCCGCCCACCCCCCAGCAGCCCTGGGCAGAGGCCAGGAGGGGGAGGGGGGGGTACTGCTGGAGGGGGTGGGGGAAGGGTGGGTGCATCAGGAGCAGCAGTGGGAGGTGGTGGTGCGCCACATTCGTCCGGCACTGCATCTCCTGGTGGCAATCGGCAAGATGCTGCTGCAAGACCCAAGAAGCGGAAAGCATTGCCTCAATAATGATTGACGTTAGTTGAGGGTTCCAGAGCATGTTATGAATAGCCTGATAACCAATAAGCCGAAGTACAATTGCGTGTTTGCTGGTTCCTGCAATTGCAGCTGAGAAGTACATCGGTTTGATACATGCAAGGCTGAAGCCAAAGTTGGTCATAGCAATTGCATAATGTAACGTGGACGAACAGTATTGCTACATCTAAGCACCACACATGGTGCAGGGTGATGTCAATTCTCCTAAAGGTTGCATCTTCCATCCATCTTCACACAATAATTTGCCACCATGGATGCCAGAAGCCAACTTGAGAGGAAGCCAATAGCACCAGATGCGAGAGCGACCACCTGCAGAGAGGGTCACATGTTGGAACATGGAATGCAGTGGAGCACACCGAACATTACAGAACAGCGTCGTGCACTTACGCTTGCAGCCAGAAGTGAGTAAGTTGCCAGCATCAAGGCAGCGTGCCCTTGCCCACTCCAGAAAAGCAGGGTGGAAAGCGCACATCCAGCACCAAAAAGGAAAAGCGATGCGAATGATGGAACATAGAAACTTTCCCACCACCTGCAGAACAAACATTCTACAACGGTTAGCATCTGCTCGAGATGAGTTATGCAAACAAGAAACCGACAGAACTTACCATTTGGTATTCCCACTCGAAAATTGGAAGTAGGCTGACAGATTTGAAATACACCCTGAGATGGTGACGAAGCCACCAAATGCAAGCAGAAGTGAAGTATATGACAACCTGCAAGTTCATAAAATCGAGTCAAAATCACTCCCCCAGTAACTAGGTAGCCGGACTTTGACCCCAATATTGCAGGAACAGCTTAATGGCTCAGGGTATACTCACTGGTGAGGAGGTGTTGTCAAATGGTAAAACAAGGCAGCTCCCACAGCACCAGACACAAGGAGGAGTCCTCCAAACCGAAAACCAAGTTTGTGGAACTCCCATGAATCTCGCTCATGGTGCATCATGCTTCCATGAAACGGAACCAGCTGCCAGTCTGCTTGGGATGCAAAGCTTCCAACCCAAGAGCCCATGTACACAGTCATGGAGCAAATAGAAAGCGTCAATAGATAAAGCGAGACCAAGGTGGCTGGAGGAATAGCATGTGGGTATCCTCCAGCATCAAGTGTCCAGTTCAGCAGAACCAGAATTCCATTCACTAGTGTCGGAGGAAGTACTGATGACAGCAGAACGGATCTCATGATGTTGGAAGACTTGAATGAGCTCAAGATCCTGGCGGAGACATATCCGTTGAGTGCCCCCAGCCCAACAAACGAGTAGAAGGACAGCTGCACCATTGAACCCCGAGAGTCTGGATCCCGCAGGCCATGCACAGCTGCTAACGCTGCCACTAAAGCAGCAGCAAGTAGTTGAATGCCTGTTCCAACCTGTGAAACAGCAAGAATTACTGGCAAGATTTGGAACAATGACCTGAAGGCGATCAGGGAAGTGAAATTTCCTTACCAGGGAGGATAGCACATAAGTTCTGTCGTGCTCCACCTGATGAGTGTGCTCTTTCAGTGGCTCATAGCCCTTGGTTCGGTGGCTAGACTCAAGTTGGCGAAGTAGGAACTTGCACAGGACGTGAAGAATGACCACTGGTGCACAAGCGATGACTAGCCAGAGGACAGCTGTCCAAAAGCTGACGGTCAGGCCTTCCTTCACGAGCAAATGATCCCACCTGGAAGGCCATTGACTTGTTGACCTTATCCAGTAAACGGAGTAGGTGAACATAACGTCACCTGCACATCAGGTGCAAGGATCAGTACAGTAGGAGACGGAGACATAATAACCCATGAATAAGTACCAGATGCCTTCTGAGGATGAGACTCAGATTCGCATTCGCCAATCCTTTTTGGAGCAATGCCCGAAGAACGTGGCTGCATCTGAACAGATGAGATTCTTACTTCGCGCTCTCCGACGCCGTTTGTCCAGTCATAATAGTGAATTTGAAAAGTAACCTGCAAGAATTAAACATTCAGCAAAGCGGTCCCTTCAGAAGAATGGCGGGGAAGAACCTCGACATCAGAAGGCCATCAACGCACATGGTTTGTCACATAAAAGTCATCCGCGTCGTGATTTCCGATGCCATAGCCATCTACTGTGTCTCCCAGGCTTTTCGTATGCAATACGGGGAGGCTGTCAGCGCGCAGTTTAATGAGTGGCCGTCTCTTCGAAGTAAGCAGCTTTGTGAAGAGCCTCGAAGCCTTTCCTTGGTTGGCAAAATTCGGAACGAGACACAGAAACCGGCATGTTACGTTGGTAAGGACTTTGACGTCATAGGGAGTGGGAAGCAGCTGCGTGTTTAGCAGGACGTCTGGCAAATACTGAGGCTGAACCCTCCACAAGGTCGTGTCCTGGCAAAACGGTAAGTCGTAGAAATCCGGTACTCCCGGCACCGAACTTGAGAAAGGAACGATGCTAATCGGTAGGGTGTCATTTTCTCTGGCACGGCGAAGACAGTCAGTCAAAAAGCTTGTTCATTGGTGTCATCAAATGTGTCCTGATGTCAAACGCTGAAACACACCTGAATGTATGTGGGTGCAAGCCTGGAATAAACGCGTAACACCGTCCATGATGTGCAACGGAGAGACAGAACGTGAGAAGGAGAAGGCGGAAAAGCATCGCCATTGTTGTGCGATGCTCTGCAGCAACTCTGCGTTAGTTGAAATCCACATCGGCAGCTGCTCTATTTCAGCCTTCCGAGCAAAATAAATCGGAGCAGGATGGTGCATCTGTCATCGACCCATCAAGACCTCGGGATTGTCGGCACAAAAACCAGAGATACGGTTGTGTACAGTTTCTAGATTTACTAGACGTAGTACATAGAGAATTATTTAACAGGCATTCTCAATCACAAGAGGTTGGGAAGCAAAACTTTCAACTCCTCAAAATTTAGGGAGAATCCTATAACGATATCGAAATTGGTGCGGAGAAGGAAGTGGAAATATATGTTTTATACATGGCAAACGTCATTGTGGCCGCCTGATACAAGCCTTGATTGGTCACACAAATCTTGTACAGCCTCCAAGGTCATCGGCGCAGTTTCTTCAAAGGAATGATTTCTTCTTCCGAATCACTTTCATCTCTGTATGCCTTCACCGCTGCCTTGCGCCCTCCAGACGTAGGAGTCTTAGCTCCCCCTCTCGCTCTACCATTGCTGCTCGGTTCTACTTTCGTCGCCGAAGCTGGAGACTTGGCTTGTGCCTTGCCTCCTGCTGCCGAACCAGGCTTGCTGCCCAGAGCAGTGGCTGAGGCTCGGGAGGCAGCTGCCGAGGCAGCAGCAGAGGAGGCTCGGACGGCCGTGGCTGCTCTGGCAGAAGCAGGAGTTGCTGCTGCACCTCCCCGGCCTCCTCCTCTCCTTTGCTTGATAACCAGCACTCGGCGAGCTTCATCCTCGTCCAACAGCCCATGCTCCATCATCCTGCAACGCAAAGCAAAGCAGAAATGAAAAAGGGATGTTGAATAAAGTCGGGTCAACAAGTAGCAGTACCGACTCATGGGTTGCTGCTGTTGCTTATCTGCATCCTCTCTCTTGACAACCAGCACTCGCCGCACTTCATCCTCGTCCAACAGCCCATGCTCCATCATCCTGTAACGCAAAGCAAAGCAGAAATGAAAAAGGGATGTTGAATAAAGTCGGGTCAACAAGTAGCAGTACCGACTCATGGGGTTGCTGCTGTTGCTTATCTGCATCCTCGCTCTTCTTAACAAAGCACTCGCCGCACTTTATCCTCGTCCAACAACCCATGCTCCATCATCCTCTAAGCAATGTACAGCAGGCTGGAAATATGCAATGATGCGACTTGGTGAGCATACAGAGAGACAGAATTGAGCGGCAAACAAAAAGTGCCTGTACCCCAGCTGGCAAAGAAAAACCATCCTTTCATTAACAAGAAGAGATGAGGCTAAGCCGCAAGGGATACTTTCGCCAGCAAAGTTTGATGTTACTCCACTGTACTGAGGAATTGATGATGCTTAAGCAGGCAACACAAACAGCAAGTTGCAACAAACATAAACATGAGCAGCACCATATCTGAGCCATCTCGCTTGTGATTTTTGAGTCGACTCAAAAATCACTTTGGAGTCGACTCAAAAAGTTGCAAGAAACATAAACATGAGCAGTACCATATCTGAGCCATCTCGCTTTCTGGTATTTGATTGTAGAGGCTCTCGTAGAATATGCGAAGAGGCTCATTCTGCAGTCCAAGAAAAAATAACAGGGTAGGCGGGGAGGAAGGGGAGAAGGGAAAAGAGGAGGCGGGGGGGAGAAGATGAAAGGGGAGAGGATGCTGGTGGGAGGGGGAAGTTCAGGAAGGTTGTGCTTTGGCCAAAAAAAGAAGCACACTTGACTAAGTACTTTTTTCCTTTTTCACATCACCTCCTCTGGTGCCTCCCTCAGCAGCCACCTTCCTTTTCTTCGGATTGACATTCATCCTTATTCCCCTGTGCCTCCCTGATTTCTCTCCATACTCCCCTCAATTTACTTGCCCCTGCACCAAGTCTATTTCTGCTCTCTCACCTCCCCTGGTGCCTCTCTCAGTTGCCCTGGCAGGTCAAACAGCACCTTCTCCATCTTCGGCTTGACATTCATCTGAATTCTCCCCAATCCTCCAACCCTTTCCCACTCACCTCCTCTGGTGTCTCTTTCAGCTGCCCTGGCAGGTCAAACATCACCTTCTCCTTCGTCATCTTGACTGTCATCTGAATTCCCTGTGCGTCCTCCCATACCTCCCCAAACCTCCAACCCTTTCCCACTCACCTCCTCTGGGGCCTCTCTCAGCTGCCCATATATATTCCTCTGTCTGTGCCCCCCTCCATACCTCCCTTCCTCCCCACCTCACCTCTTCTGGTGCCTCTCTCAGCTGCCCTGGCAGGTCAAACACCGCCCTCTCTTTCTTCGGCTTCACAGCCTCCCTGTCCTTCTGTGTCTGCGAGAGGGAGGTGCACATGCAGGGGGTGCGTGGGGGGGAGGGATATGCTCTCTTTGAGGTCCCTCTTCACGTGCTTCCTTCAGCTGCCCTGGCAGGTCAAACACCGCCCTCTCTTCCCTTGGCTTCACAACCTCCTTGTCCTTCTGTGTCTGCGAGTGGGAGGTGCACATGCATGGGAGGGATGGGGGGAGAAACAGGAGCGCTTCAGGTGTCCCTTCAGGTATCCCCTCACGTGCTTCCTTCAGCTGCCCTTCTCTTTCTTTGGCTTCGCAGCCTCCTTGCCCTTCTGTGTTCTGTCGTGAGGGTGGGGTGTGGCATGAGGGGAGGAGATGGATGAAGATTCGACGACAGAAGAGAGACGAGCCCCCTTCTCCTTATTGGGCTTACGGCCTCCTAATCCTTCTGTGCCTGGAGGAAGAGGGATCCAAAGAGAAGCGATTTGTGAGGAGTCTATTTTCAAGGCGCCTCAAAAAATGGACTCTTCACGGCCTCCTGTCCTTCTGTGTCTGGAGAAGAGGGGATCCAAAGAGAACCGAAAGTTGAAGTCAAAAGGGACAAGTGTTGGAGAGGGAAGGGAGGAGAAGGGGGGGGGGGGGGGGGGGAGAGGGGATCACTCTTTTACAGACTCATAAGCGAAGGGAGGGGAAGAGGAATTGAGGGAGGAACGGAGACGGGGAGAAGGAAGGAGAAAATCAGGAAGCGGACGGGGGGAGGAAGAGCGAAGATGAATGAGCAGAGAGGGAGGGAGAGAGAGGGGGGGGACGTCTAGTTTTGAGGCGCCTCAAAACTAGAGGAGGGAGAGTGAGGGTTCCCATGGTCACCCCACATGCCTAGCCTGTACCCAGGGTTCCAGCAATAAACGGGCCGCTTGAGGGAGAGAGAGGGGAGGGCGGACTGAGGAAGGGAGAGAGGGCGGGACGTTGGAAGGAAGAGGGGTTAGGGTAGGGAAATCCTCTTACCTCGTGGAAGGGAAAACACGTCCCAAGGGACGTTCATTGTACCTTACGCGTAGAGCCTTGCGCCGCCTTGGACATCTCGATGCGGGAAAATGAGACCAACAGCAATTCGATGAGAGTACTCGACTAGCCGGGCGGAGTGTAAAATACGAGGCAGACAGGGAAATGGCGAGGCGGCCCGCAGTAGACGGTCGCGAGTAAAGTCGCAAAAATGCTGGGTAGTTTTTATAACTAGAAAAGGGCGAAGGACCGGTCTCAATTCAATTGGGCAAAACGGGATCCCCTAAATGGCGTTTGAGTCAGTTCGAAAGTGGAGAGGATACAAGCCACGCGGAATCCGCAGCCAATGACGTGAGAGCGGTTGAACCCAAGTAACCTGGATTCTCCTATGACTCTGGACTCGCGCACGATCAGAAACGCGGAGCAACGCACTCCTAGCATAGAAATGAGAGGAGGGAGAGTTTTGAGCTGCCTCAACGTGAACTAGTACAGTATAGAGGTCAGCTTGATAGTCCAGTGACGGTGGCGGACTGAGGGCGCGTCACATTTTTGTGAACATGAAGCGAGCACCAGATAACTAGTTTTGCGAAGCTCGTCAAATTTTGCGACAATCTGGAAATTCTCGCCCCACAAATTGAGACACGCCCAAAATGCTATTTCTCCCCATGTTCATTCGGAGCTGGTAAGCGGTTCGCCCTCGCGAAGCACTGCGAAACATTCGAGAGAACATGAGTTCGTAAAAACCCATGTTCAGAAAAATATGACGCGCCTAAGGATGAGCGATCTCGTCAGCAAGAGAGAGGACAGTTGGAGGAGAGGGAGGATGGAGTGGGGTAACCATCTGTAACAGAAACCAACTCATGTGATAGGAATGTTGCAAAGGCAACTTTATTCCTTACCGAGCTGTACTGATTATTGCGTACACACTGAACACTCGGCTCGGTCCCGGACCTTTTCTCCGAGCCTCCGACACTGTTCAAGACCTTTGACCAAGCCTTCGTGTGTTCTCCAGGCCTCTCGTCGACACTTAAAGCCCTTCGATCTCCTTCCTGAAACCTCGAATCTCACGGCTAAGATAGCTCAGGTGTTCCTTTATCTTGCCTCTTATTTCAGTCATTCACAACTTCGATACTTCATCTCACGCTACTCTTCAAGTTCACCATAATCCGCATAATTGCATAGAACTCAACGAGTTTTATATCCACATAAAACATGTTTTTGCCAAAAATGCTAATGCAAATTCCCCAATTTCAAATTATAATCTGTTCCAAATATGTGTAATTTCAGGATTAACTAGTGGTTACTATGTATGTAGGGAAATGCACGCATTTGTCAGTAACTTATACACCATTTACTTCTCAAGAGTTCATTGGAACTAAGATGAGCGCTTGTGGTTTGTGCCGAATGCTCCTATAGGGCAGTTAATCAAAGAGTTCCCAGACCTGTGGTAGCTCAGCCAATGACGTGCTTCTGGCGGTGAACCGACAGACGAAGCTACCGAACCAGGGGCTTCTGCTGATCCCGTAGCTAGGCACACAACAAGCGCTGCCGGGCCGCACTGTGGCTTTCTCTCCCCCTCAAGCTCCTGCCAAACCTCCTGCTTGCGCTCGACATCCCAAGCCGGGCTTGCCGAGGCTGGCACGTGCCTGGTTTTGGGAAACTAGGAATTACTCCTCTGTCCGAGCACTAGGAATTATCTTCCCGATTCCAGGGTTGCTGGTGCTTCTTTGCTGAGCACTTATCGATTGCCCCAGCCACTGCTGGCGTTCAGGCAATCGTCGCACTGCTGGCGTTCAGCCACTACGCGCGTGATCGCTGACACCCCTCATCTTCGCGATTCTGCATTCGCCAATCAATCCAGACCGTCCATTCCTCTTCCGTACATCATCTGATCACTTCGCTCACTTTCGTACTTCGCCGCTTCTGATCGATCATTGGCTTGTCGTTCATCCTCTGATCCGATCGCCAACTCGTTGTTTTACCGACACCAACTGATCATCTACCGCGGATCTCACCTTCCACTGCACTGATCGCTCCTCCACCGCTCCTCCATCGCTCCTCGTTCCTGAAACCACCATCGCCGTTGTCTCTCGCCCCGTTATCAATACCTACGTATCAGCAGCATCCCCTCATCCCACCTGCCATTTGTCCTGATCACCCCAGAATCGCCCCTCGCCTGACACGTCACCCATGGCACGTGGCCGATCCAAGGACCTGATCCTCGCCGCCGTCCGATCCGCCTCCCGGCGCGGCAGCTTCAGATCCAACGGATCAGATCGACGCGCGGGTCCGGCCCTCACATCCGCTCTGCTTTCGCGAAACAGCTGCAGCGCGCCGAGCTTAGCCCCTCCCCAGGAATCATCTCCCTTCGGATCGTGGGAAAGCGTCGATGCAAAGCGCCTATCGGCGTGGAAAAGCGTTACTTTTGGCTCGGGAGGAGGGGTCCGGTTTGCCGAACCTACAGTGCTAGGCTCGGATGTGGCAGGAACGGGAGGGAGGTGGTATGGAACGCAGGCTGCGAGCGAGCAGGAGGAGAAGAAAGAGCCGTGGCGTGAGGGGATGGAGAAGGTGAGCTGATGAGATTGAAGAGGGATGATTGCCTTTTCCAGGCTTGTAAGTGAATCTGTTGCACGCACAACCTGTCAGGCGCTGAGTGCATTGGTGAGGAGAAGAGAGAGCCGTGGCGTGAGGGGATGGAGAAAGTGAGCTGATTAGATTGATAATTGAATGTGAGATGATGAGCTTGATCATTGAAGGTGAGATGATGCGCTTGATCATTGAAGGTGAGATGATGAGCTTGATCATTGAAGGTGAGATGATGAGCTTGATCATTGAAGGTGAGATGATGAGCTTGATCATTGAAGGTGAGATGTTGAGATTGAACCGAGATGCTTTTTCTTTAGACTTGTTTGTAAGTGAATTGATCCACGCAGGCTGCGAGCGAGCAGGAAAAGAAGATAGAGCCGTGGCGTGAGGGGATGGAGAAAGCGAGGTGGTGAGCTTGAAGAGGGATGTTTGCTTTCCTCGAACGTGGTCTACATGTGTCGAACCGAGGTGACTTTTGAGTCGACTCAAAAGTCAACCTTCCCCTTCATATACAGCTTATGCATGTGCTGATGCCCTCATGTAAGTGTCAGCTCCAGCACATCTGGCATCGGGTATGACGAATTCGAGGGGTCAAAGTGCTGAGCTTCGCATGGAGGATCCACAGCCCTGCCCTGCCCTGCCCTGCCCTGCTCCACATTTCGAAATCTTGTCGTTTTCAGGCTAAGCAGCGTTTCGAAACAGGTTATTTGGTCAATCTTGCCAATGACCAACAGGTTATTGGCGCCCAAAGACAAAACCCAATGACCAACACGTTATTCGGTTAGAATTGGTCATTGGGCGCCAAGATGGACAGAGCTGACTTTTGAGCCGACTCAAAAGTCGATTGGGCTCCAAGATGGACAGAGCTGACTTTGAGCCGACTCAAAAGCATGTGGGGAAGGAGCCTTCCCTTCCCCATCCCTGCTGCTTTCCCCATCCCTGCTGCCTTCCCCCATCCCTGCTGCCTTCCCCCATCCCTGCTGCTTTCCCCCTTCCCTGCTGCCTTCCCCCATCCCTGCTGCCTTCCCCCATCCCTGCTGCTTTCCCCCATCCCTGCTGCTTTCCCCCATCCCTGCTGCTTTCCCCCTTCCCTGCTGCCTTCCCCCTTCCCGGCTGCCTTGCCGCTTCTCTCTCTCAGATGCATAGCATTGGAATCTCGGCACATATTGACTCGGGGGAAACGACCCTGACAGCGCGTGTGCTGTTCTACACGGGGCGGATCCACGAGATTCACGAAGTGAGGGGGCTTATTGTCCGCCCTTCCCTTTGTTTCCCTGCACCTTCCTTCCAGATTCGAAACATCGGCATATCAGCGCACATAGACTCGGGCAAGACAACTCTGACCGAGCGTGTGCTGTTCTACACGGGGCGGATCCACGAGATTCACGAAGTGAGGGGGCGGGACGGCGTGGGCGCCAAGATGGACTCGATGGACCTGGAGAGGGAGAAGGGCATCACTATCCAGTCCGCTGCCACGCACTGCACGTGGGGCGACCACCAGGTGAGGGAGTAGTTGGGTTGTACGTGGCTGGCAGGTATCAGCTTTCTCGAGGGTGGCCTGAAGGCGTGAGGGGCGGGACGGCGTGGGCGCCAAGATGGACTACATGGACCTGGAGAGGCAGAAGGAATCGCCATCCAGTCCGCTGCCACGCACTGTACGTGGGTTGTGTACTTGGTGGATACTACCTTTTAGTTGACTCCAGGGGTTGCCTGAAGATGGACTCGATGGGCCTGGAGAGGAGAAGGGCATCACCATCCAGTCCGCTGCCACCCACTGCAGCACGTGGGGCGACCACCAGGTGAGCAATGGGAAAAGGCCAGGTACAGATGGATGAGCGACTGAAGGCTCTGCTGAAGATAGACGGTAGGTACCTGGACAGGAGAGAGTGAAAGATACCGCTTGAGAAAGGGATCAGCATTCAGTCCGCTGCGACATGCATAATGCATGCATAACCTGATGGACCTGCAGTCGTCTCTCACTATTGAATTGGAAAGAGCGCTGAGGGAGGGTGCTGGACGGGGCTATTCTGTGTCTCCTTATCCACTAACCCGTACCGCTCTTGATAAACCATTCAAACATTTACTTTGACCCATCAACTTTTTTGTGTTTCTCAGGTGAATATCATCGGCATGCCCGGACACGTAGATTTCACCATTGAAGTGGAACTGACGATGCTGACGATGCTGGACGGGACGGGGCTTTTACCCACCCCTTTCTCTCTCTTTCTTCTCATCCTTCCACTTGACCTCCCCCTCAGGTGAACATCATCGACACACCGGGCCACGTGGACTTCACCATCGAGGTGGAAAGAGCGCTGAGGGTGCTGGACGGGGCTATTCTGGTGCTGTGCAGCGTTGGGGGCGTGCAGAGCCAGTCGATAACTGTTGATCGGCAGATGAGGCGATACAGGTAAGAGCCTCGGGTTTAAAGTTTCGGTTCTGGGGTTCAGGTTCTGGGGGTTGCTGAGGCCCGAGGGTGCTGGACGAGGCTATTCTGGTGCTGTGCAGCGTTGGGGGCGTGCAGAGCCAGTCGATAACTGTTGATCGGCAGATGAGGCGATACAGGTAAGAGCCTCGGGTTTAAAGTTTCGGTTCTGGGGTTCAGGTTCTGGGGGTTGCTGAGGCCCGAGGGTGCTGGACGAGGCTATTCTGGTGCTGTGCAGCGTTGGGGGCGTGCAGAGCCAGTCGATAACTGTTGATCGGCAGATGAGGCGATACAGGTAAGAGCCTCGGGTTTAAAGTTTCGGTTCTGGGGTTCAGGTTCTGGGGGTTGCTGAGGCCCGAGGGTGCTGGACGAGGCTATTCTGGTGCTGTGCAGCGTTGGGGGCGTGCAGAGCCAGTCGATAACTGTTGATCGGCAGATGAGGCGATACAGGTAAGAGCCTCGGGTTTAAAGTTTCGGTTCTGGGGTTCAGGTTCTGGGGGTTGCTGAGGCCCGAGGGTGCTGGACGAGGCTATTCTGGTGCTGTGCAGCGTTGGGGGCGTGCAGAGCCAGTCGATAACTGTTGATCGGCAGATGAGGCGATACAGGTAAGAGCCTCGGGTTTAAAGTTTCGGTTCTGGGGTTCAGGTTCTGGGGGTTGCTGAGGCCCGAGGGTGCTGGACGAGGCTATTCTGGTGCTGTGCAGCGTTGGGGGTGTGCAGAGCCGGTCGATAACTGTTGATTGGCAGATGAGGCGATACAGGTAAGAATCCAGGGTGTAGGCTTTAGGTTTCAGGGTAAGAAGCCAGTCTTGGGTTTCAGGTTTCGGTTCGGGGGTTTCGGTTCTCAGGGTTTAGGGGTGCTGAGATTATTTTTTTGAATTCTAAAAAATCACATGCAGGTACGAATCTCGCGTTTGGGGTTTAGGTTCTATGGTTCCGGTTGTCAGGGTTTCGGGGTGCTGGTGCTGGACGGGGCTAGTTTTAGTGCTGTGCAGCGTTGGCGGCGTGCAGAGTGAGGCGATAATGGTCAACAGGCAGATGAGACAATGCAGGTGGGTGGGGCTAACTATAGATTCAGGGGTATAATCAGAGCTTTGGTCTAATCAGGGTTCGGGTATAATAAGGGTTCAGGAATGATCAGGGTGAGGTATAATTAGGGGTATAATCAAGGTTCTGCGTTGGTGCAATCCACCTTGCTGATAAAGGCAGGGCGAGGGACACTGGCGGAGAGGAGTCAATTTACAGCAAACGCCCCACCATGCCTGACCCCTGACCCCTGACCCCTGGCCCCTGGCCCCTGGGTAAACAAGAAACTCAAATCCTCGACCCTCAAGCCCCACCTTTATCGAACCATCTGGGGTGCTAGAGCCCCACCTGTATCGACTCGCCGCCCAAGTGGTTGTGGACTGATTGGGCAACCCAGCAATGCTGTGAATGGGGCACCAGATCAGCACCCTAATCCCGGAAACCTAAAACCTGATTATTCCCTAACCCTGATCATATCTTGACCCTGACTATACAAAAACTCAGGTCATACCTAAGCCCTGATTATACCAAAACCCTGGTCATACCTAAACCCTGATTATACCAAAACCCTGGTCAAACCTAAACAATTTTCATACCTGAACCTGATCATACCTACACTACACCCTGATTTTTACCATAACCTGATCACACCTAAACTCGGATTTTTCCTAAACCCTGACCATACCTATACCCTGATTATACTTAACCTTGGAAGGTGCTGGGAAACATGCTGTCCTCTGCTCTTCCGTCCTTTCCCCCCCCCCCTCTCCCACTCGCCCTTCCCCTCCCCTCTTTCTGCCCAGTGTGCCTTGCCTGGCGTTTGTCAACAAGCTAGATCGAACGGGAGCAGACCCGTGGAAGGTGGTGGGAAGCATGCTTTTCTTTGCTCTTCCATCCACCCCCTTTCCGCCCTCCCTCTCTGTCCCCTCTCGCACTCCCCTCCTCCCCAGTGTGCCTCGCCTGGCGTTTATCACCAAGCTCGATTGCACGTGAGCAGACCCGTGGAAGGTGGTGGGCTGGAGCTGATCTGATTCCCTGCCAAGCCCCTCTCGTCCCTTCCCTTTCTGCTGTTTCTCCTGTCATTTTCCCCTCCTCGTCTCCTCAGCGTCCCGCGCCTGGCGTTTATCAACAAGCCGGATCGCACGGGAGCAGGCCCGTGGAAGGTAGTAGTAGGCAACATGCCTTTCTTTGCTCCTCCGTCCACCCTCTTTCCTCCTATTTCCCCCCTGTCCGCAACCCCACCTCCACACTTCCCCCCTCACAGTGTCCCTCGCCTGGCGTTTATCAACAAGCTGGATCGTACGGGAGCAGACCCGTGGAAGGTGGTGGGGCAGCTGCGGTCCAAACTCAGACTGAATGCTGCTGCAGTGCAGGTGGGTGCTGGTGGTGGTGGGTGCGCTATTAGCAGGTGTGACTGTAGTAGATCGTGTGATTGCAGATGCTGTTGATGTTGACAGTTACAGGCGGTGTGACTGTGGGTGGTGGGGCAGCTGTGGTCCAAGCTCAGACTGAATGCTGCTGCCA